CGGCAGAGGGAGCCCAAAGAACAGCACTGATGCCAAAGAAAGCTTGAAAATGTGACAAAGACCACATAGATGTAAAGCTGGGGAGGTCACACAGAGTGCAGTGTCTAGAGCAGGCTGAGCACTGTGTTACTTATTAGATGTCAGATCTAATTGTTAATCGACTGTTCTCTGATCTGGTTTTGTTGGGTTCTCCCACCCCCAGCAGCAAATAAATCAGATGGAGGAAATCTGGGGGGGGAAAAAGGGGTTTTTGTCAAATCAACAATAGGGCATTAACCAAAAAGAGGGTTTTTCTTTGCAGTGCTGTGGGCAGCGCTGAGCAGCCCCAGCAGAAGGGCTGCTGCACAGCCCCATCCCGGGGGCAAGATCTGTGCTGGGTTTTGGGGGTTTTAATTAAATCAAGAGCACGGGGAGCAGTGAGGAAGAAAATGGGAGAGCAGATTATCTTACTCCTTCACAAAACCCACACAGCCAGCTCCAAATCAGTAACACAGCTCATGTGTGCACAGCTTTAGGTACAGTTTTGTATCCTTCAATATTGGTAGGACAGAAGCACATACAGTTCAGTAGAGGAATGAATGCAGTAATTCATCAGCATAGATCTGGTGCCCAGTGCTAACTGATGCTCAGCAGGATCAGTGCATTGGCTGCCCATTCCTCTGCTTTTCAAGGCCAGGTTGGACACAGGGGCTTGGAGCAACCTACTCTAGTGGAAGGTGTCCCTGCCTGTGGCAGGGGGTTGGAACTGGAGGAGCTTTAAGGTCCCTTCCACCCAAATCATTCTAGGATTCTATGGAACACACAGGCCACAAGGGAACAGATACCTGTGCAGAAATTAACCCAAATCACCTTATTTCATGAGCTTTGCCTCTCTGCCACCTACAATCCCCCCACCCAAAGGTTTTTAAACTATTACTCCTTTCTAAGCTCCTGCATAAGTATTACAGACCTGCATTTCAGCCTGAAGTTCTGATGAGAATTTGGAGTGTGAGTTTTGTTGCTAAAGTGGGGACTGTGCAGGAGTCACATAACATTGCTCCTCCGGGATCTCTCCTTTCAGTGGAGATGGGAAAGCAATTAGGTTCCCCCTGCCCTCCCATAAGCTCTTTGAGCACAGGTACCTTGACATTTACACTCCATCAACATCTGCATGAGTGAGAGACAGCCGAAGCAGTGATCAAGGAAAAGGAACAAGGCAAACTTATAAGAAGGGGACAATATTAATTAGGTGCTGCCAATTTTTTCCAGCACTAATAATGTTATCTGTGGCAGTAACAGTCACCTTACGTCAGTGCTAGTGCAGTAGATGTTTCCAGGTAAACAGCAGTTAAACAACAGCTCCTTAAAAGCCCATGTTGTGTATTTGGGTAAGTACAGAGAACAATAGAGCACTGATTTCCAATAGAGACTGCAGAATAAAGGCTCTGCACTGCAGCCTGGGGTGGATAACCCAGCCTTTATAGACTTCCTTGAGAAGAAGAGTAGCTCCAAGCCTGCATTTTAATTTCAGTTTAAATGTAAAGATTCTGGGTACTCACGGCTGAAATTCAATGATTCTAAAGATGCAGATGAAGAGGATGAGAGCAGCACAGAAATAGCAAAAACCAGAGACAGAGGAAACAGGTAAAGTCTGCACCCACCATGTATGACCAAGGGGAAGGTTACCTGTGGAGCTGTTGCAGGTCTTGGAGTGGTTGTTGCACTGGCACGGCTCGCACGTGGTTTCATTAAACCTGTAGTATCCATCACTGCACTGGTCACACTTCAGGGCCGTGACACCAGCTTTACACTGGCATTTCCCAAAGCTGCACAGGGAAAAACAAATGCTGAAATCTGGATGTGCTGAGAGGCATGGGAAGTGCAAGCCTCTGGTCAGTGATTTGGATTCACTTTGCAGAGGAAGGGAACTGCTGGAAGCACAACACAAAACCCATGGGCAACAACTTCCAAAAGTGACGGGGAGTTCAGGAGAGATTGAATCTCTGCAAAAGCAGTTGCCTTGACAGCAGTTTCCAGCTGGGCACCAGAAACCATCACTCATTGTGGAAAGCCTTGGCCCAAAGCCATCCCCATGTATCACCCGCAGCAGATGCTCCAACAGCCTCTCTCTGCTCCCAGCTTCCTCAAGCACCTGCCCCGTGTCCTGCAGGACACTGGGGCACCCATAAGCACTACACCTGGCCCATAAAAGAGCACCCACATGGATAAGCATCTCTCCCCACATGGATACCAAGCTGCACTTTGCAGATTTTTGGGAGAGCAGACAATTCCCTGCTCACCACACGCATTCCCAGCTCCCTAAAGAGCCGGCGCAGCAGCTCAGGTGTCTTGTTTGGATTTCAGCAGGCACCAGCCACTTGCTCTTGTCCATGATCCTGTTCATCCCTCCCATGCAGCATCCCCACAGCCACCTAGGCGAAGCCCCTCTCTCCGGTCACCTTCTCCTACCCAGCAGGAGCCAGGGAAAGACGAGAGAGGGTTTTCCCTTCCCCAGCAGTTTCCACTGTGCTAACCCCAGCCAGGAGCCTGTTTACTTGGGCACAGAGTCTGCACCGCGGGTGGAGCTCTGCACAGTTAAAACAGAGGGTATTTGGCATATACCAGCAGGCTATAAAAAGCAAAGGTTACCCTCATTCCTCTGGCTGTCCATGCCAGTCTCTTGACGTAGAGGCTTCAAACCCATTGCTTTCACAACCAACTATATACTAGCAGCATTTAAGCTCAACTCTCAGAGAAATAAGGGCATGTAGGGATGGAACAAGGGGGAATGGCTTTAACCTGCCAGAGGGGAAATTGAGATGAGCTCTGAGGCAGAAGTTCTTCCCTGTGAGGGTGCTGAGGTGCTGGCACAGGGTGCCCAGAGAAGCTGTGGCTGCCCCATCCCTGGCAGTGTTCAAGGCCAGGTTGGACACAGGGGCTTGGAGCAATCTGCTCTAGCGGAGGGGGTCCCTGCCCACGGCAGGGGGTTGGAACAAGTCCCTTTAAGGTTCCTTCAACCCAAACCATCCTGTCATTCTATGGAATCAGAGGAATGGAGAAAATGCTCTTTTCCCATCAACCCCACACAAAGCAGCAACCAGCTATGGCTTATCCCACTGGCACATGAAGGAACCACTAACTCCCAAGCTGAAAACAAGGGAGTGCAGAAGTGCCTCTCCATATCTCCAACAGCCCTCAACCTGTGTGCTGCACAGGGAAGCCAGGACAACCACCCAAAGAACCATGACTTGGTCTTCTTCAGGAGATGGCTTCAGTTGCAGCTGTAGTGGATGAGGCAGGTACCATCCACAGAGCACACCACTGGATGCATCCCCCTCTCAGCTCTCCCTCCGTATAACCTCCTCCTTATTCCTACACTTGTTTAATGCAGTACTCCAGGGTTCAATGTGCCTGCACAGAGATAACCTATTGTTCTCCCTCGCTCCTCCTGAGGAAGAGTGAGCAATGCACAATTTGCTTCTAAAAGCCCCTAGAAGAAACCTGCTGATTAAAACTAACAGAGGCTGAGGCTCCAAATGGCTCGATGCACTGTTGATGTGTTGGTTTTCATTAAGATGCAGTAGATTGCAGCGTTTTGGGGAAGACATTGCTTCCGTTGGAAATCAACAGCATTTAGTATTTCTCTTGCTCATTTGCTTGCCAAAGGAAGAGGAAACACTCAAAGGCACACCAAAACACGGAACTCAGCCCAAGCGGGTACACAATTAAATAGTTCCAGCATGTGAAACTTCAGGCTTATTTAATGGACTGATTACAAGAAGGAGAAAAGGAAAGATGATGTTTCCTTGCTCTCCAGACCATTATCTGGAGTTGCAGGAGGCAGATGCACAATTCAAACGGATGCTGTTAAGCAGCTCAGTACATTTGACTTTGAAAGAGCTTTTCACAAGACCCAACGTTCATCCAAATGTCGTCACAGTGAAATAAGAGCAAACAAGAAGTTTGGGTTGCTTCTGATTGCTACCAGTTGGATGTGGGCAAGGGACAGGCAGAGCCAAGCAGGGAAAAGCAACTAATGGGAGGGAACTGATGCTTAACCTGAAAACACATCTGTGTTTACTCATAGGATGTGCCTTATGAGTAGGACATAGCAGGACCAAGCACCAGTGCTACTCAATGTTCACCCTCCCAAGCTGGAGTCCAGGGTGCTCCATTTTACCTTCTCTTGCCCCTCCATTATGCCTTTACATTGCTATCCTCCTTTTCCTCCCAGCAGGCACCCCTCCATCCAGACGTCCACTTCATTGCTTTAAAGGAGGTTTGTTTCCCCAAAGATTTTACTAGAGCTCAGCACAGCATTTTGGGGCAGTATCCCTCAATTTGACTTGTTAGCTTAAAAATAACAGGAAAGAAATATATATATAAAAGGCAGTTTTGGAAAGTTAGTGTTTAATGCCTCTCAAGCAGACCTTTTCTCAACATGTTACACATGGCCCAGAGCCAAGTTCTGCATGTGCAAGAATTAAATCACTCAGCAAATATAAAGCTTTGCCTGTGGTCATTGCTTCCATAGAATAAAGCCCCCTTACAACACTCCTTTTTATAGCTCCAGCCCAGTAAAGGCTGTCAGACACTTTTTAAAGCAAAGGTCAATGATATAAATGCATTGAAACCACACAGAAAAAAAAAGAAGTCCTGTTAACAGACTGATTGTGCACGTAAGAATCCAGAAACTTGAAAGAAAAGACCCACAGTTTAATACTTGTATGGTGAGAACTGAACTGGATTTTGAGCATCAGCCAGGAATTTGTTTTGGGGGGAAGTGGGGGGAAAAGAGGGGGAAGGGAAGGGAAGGAGGGGAAACATTTTGAGGGAATAACATCAATTGCTCAACTCCGTTTCAGATGATTATTAACTCCGCTAAAGCAAACCAATGATCAGCTCTCACAAAAGAATCGATGCTGGGACAAAACCAAACTTCCAGCAACAAAAGCCTTGGTTTCTCCTAGGTTTTCATGAATATAAAAACTTACTTTACTTACTTTAAAGACCGTGTAGTAGTGCATATCACCATCACATCATCCATCAACTTTATATATGTTTCCTAATGATTAAAACCATCACCAGCACATGAAACCCTGGCAGAGGGAGCCGGCAGTGATTAGCCAGCCAGTGGGGATAGGGGCAGAGTATGTGAAGGGCTTGCATCCAGCACTGAATGATTCAATACCCCAGGGGCAAGAGCTACACTTGAGGCCAGGTTTGGGATCCCCCAAGGCAGGGACTCATGCGTCCGATCAGAACAATGGGCTTTGTTCATACCTTAGGAGCTGCTGCCTTGATGCCTGGGGCTGGTTGTGCTCACTGTGTGATGCTGACACCCAGGGCAGCGTGCACGGGGCAGGGGTTGTAAATAAAAGCAAGTATTGGGCAAGGGGAACAGCCTAAGCCCCCAAAATATGTCTACAAAAGCCAGTCTGGTTTTACTTCACCCCCTTTCCACTCCACCCAAGGGGAAATAGTCACTGGATGCAGGAAACCCCTTTGCTCACCAGGTGATCTGGGCCATTAGTGGCAACAAAGCATTGCCCGTGGTGGGATTTTACATGGACTGCAGCTTCACAGCTACAGAAGGAGATACAGGAGAGACACTGTGCATCACTCTGGCTACTGTTCTAGAGGAGGACTAGTTTTGACCCCACTTGGAAGTGTCTCTGGAGCAGAGCACAGAGAACAGGTAACACCTCCAAAGTCCTGTCTCGTGCCTGGCCTGAAGCTGCAGAGCATCCCACAGGGAATTTTCATCCCCCAGGTCTGATGGCCAGGGAAGGACACGCTGATGGGATGGGCAGTGCCCTCACCTTGTACCCCCCAGCACAGGAGAGCCTCATCAGAAGGGGAGAACCAAAAAAGCACTAAAATATCTGTGATCCAAGAGAGCTCCCAATGTGCAGTTGCATCTGCACTGGGTCTCCACTCCTCCGCAGGAACATCCTGAAGTTGGGAAGGGACATGATAGACACAAGATGGATGGGGAGATGGAGGACCATAGCCTTAAGGGCTGTTGGGACACATGCTGTGCACTTTAATGGTGTAACAGAAAACCCTCAGCAACCTCTAATCATTTATTTTCTTCCCTGTTTTCCCCAAGAAGGAGGGAAGGGAGAAATTCATTTGGAATGTTTTCCCACATGCCAGAAGAACCCAGATGCCCGGGAACTGGCTGACCATGTCCAAGCCAGCCAAAACAGTTCAGCACCAACCTTCTGTGCCTTTATATTGAAAACATATGAGGCCAGTATGCTTTTGGGGCAGTCAGAGAAGGAGGGAGCTCCCATGAGTCCCAAACCAGGGCATACCATGTGGATGAGCGACTCAAAACTATGCTGCCCCATAAAATCCCAGCCTGGTTTGGGTTGGAAGGGACCTTAAAGCTCCTCCAGTTCCAACCCCCTGCCATGGGCAGGGACACCTTCCACTAGAGCAGGTTGCTCCAAGCCCCTGTGTCCAACCTGGCCTTGAACACAGCCAGGGATGGGGCAGCCACAGCTCCTCTAAGCACCCTGTGCCAGCATCTCAGCACCCTCACAGGGAAGAACTTCTTCCTTTTATCTAACCTCAGCTTCCCCTGTTTCAGTTTAAACCCATCACCCCTTGTCTTATCATTACAGTCCATGATGAAGAGTCCCATCCCCTCCCAGCCACCGCCTGGTAAACCTCTGCTGACACATAAGCCCATCCTCCATCCCAGCAGCGCCCAGAGGTGCTCCTGTAACATACACAATTATCAGCAGTGACAGGGCTCAGTATGAATGAGGGAGAATACGCTGCTGAATCGCGAGCATCTGTAAAACAACCCTCATGA